TGAAAAATTCTACTGCCAGTCCTTCATCACCTTAGACGAAATAGGGTGAATACATCTCATTACTCTATAATAACTCTGAAAAATAAATCTTGGACGGTTTAAATTTAAATTCATCATAAGTGATAATTAACTTTGTTGAAATTTAATGTTTGGTAATATCTAGACGTGTTTACCCATTGTTTGGATCTTGTGAACACAACAGGTCTTACAAGCACTTGGGAGGAACTTGGTTCAAACTTACTTCAACTCTTTTAAATTCACTCTATTTTTTTGGTCTATACTAAGATGGCTACTAAAGAATCAAAACAGAGATCGAGGGCCTTCTCTCTAAATGAGGAAAGCTATCTTTAATTATGCTATCAAGAATTATTTATATTGATTTCCGGATCAGACTATCCTATAAAATAAAATAATGGGGTTCGGTGATGTGATTTTTATCTCATAATCCTCCGGATTCTATACATTCTATGCTAAAGTAAAAAGCTCTGCTAAGGGAATACAAATATGTTTTCCAATTGAAACCACTCGATGATTGGTCTCAGTCAATCGAAAGTGGCTGGTAACACTAAGAACTATGCTTTAATCCTTACACTACCGTAGTGATATTGAATTTGATAACATTTATTGTGGCTTTACTATTAGCCTAAGTGCCTGTCTTAATAAAATAATTAAGTGTCGAAAATTACATTAGGTTTCTTTGAGGATAGAAAACTTAATTTGCCATAGGCTTCCTGAAAAAGTGGTAATCTGTATGTAGAGGGACGCTTGCTTATTCTATTGAGCTCTATGAGATCCGCTTCCGCACCCACATTAGTGAATCTTCGGATAATTCATCTTTCAAGTTATGGTTTGAATCTTTCTACTTTAATCGGTTGCTTTAAATTATATAACAGGCGAACTCGAGTGTAATTTTTTTTGTCTACTTATTTTTCAGCTTGAGAATAGCTCATACAGACGGTTCCTTGTAGAGCGTGCTCTCACTGATTTTTATGCAAAAGCTGATGGAAGAATGGTGATTTTCATTCAACCTCTGCAATGTCCCTCACATCATTTCATTCAGTTTAAAAATCTTCTTTTTCACAAAGGCCTTCATTTTCATAAGTTTCCACTGGACATATTAAGGTATGTTAAGGTATTCTCTTCAGTTTATTTCAGCACATTTTATATTGCTTTAGAATATTCAGAAAATATCGTTGCTCTATCCTTATTATATAGTTACGCATTGTAAATGGCCTTAATTTATTAATTATATAGCTGCGTATGTCTATGAATTATTATTCACGTTACAAAATATTGCTTAAGTGATACATTTCTTGATAAATACGTAAGACATTGACCAACCTGAAAAAAACGCATCTACAATGGAGCTTGTAATCATGTCTGCGACCACACCAGAGGCCACAACATCTTGGTCTTCATATATTCATGTTTGGTTTACTTTTATGATCAACTTGTTTACATTTATGCACTATATGCCAGCCTTTATTGATAAAAAGTGCTTGGCCTCTTGCTTTTTTGTTTTAGTTTGCGCATAATTCTGACTAATAAATGATTAATTCAGAAAAGGTTAGTTAAGATTTTGTTTCCTAACGGCCAATAAATGAAAATATTGACACTTAAATATAATATAAAATAGTGGGTTGACCTCGTTGTCGCAACTTGGTCTTGTTGTCAGGGCGACCTAATAGAACGCACCTAGTCCGAAGTCGTCTGCTATAGTAGTTTTCATGATTCCCAGCATCAGACAGTGGACTTGGTATATTCTCAAACGACATCTAATATTTAAGCTTTTACTAAATAATCGTAGGCATCACAAACGTATCTCATATTATTCAGGAAGATTTATATACTATAAAGAACCAAGGGCACAGCGTCCAGTAACCAAAAGTAACACATAATGCCTACTCGTATCATTGTGGGAAAATTCAACTACCAGTACTTCATCACTTTAAATGAACTCGGATGAACGCGTCTCGTATATATGATCTACTGGTAGTCTCGACGACCTACTTATAAACGAAGAATTGTTATTAGATATTGACAACCACAAGACCCCTCGTGTCGCATAACTAAAGATAAATGAACTTCAGATTTTTTTAATCCAAGTTTTATCTGGAAATTTCTCCAAGATCGTCGGTAGTACGACGGTATTAAGATCATGATCACCACCGTATCAATTATGAAGGACGAGCAGAACTCTTGCCTTTGACAGTACCTTCATCGAGTCCATATTATACACTTCCCATATTTTAACTTCTTTAAATTCCTGGTTTGCAATAGCAAGTGTATGATCTGCCTCGCATCACCCAAATGCATATCTTGAATTTTAATGCTCAACTTTGTACATTAGGAATTCGCATTCCCGGCTCCCATTGAGTAATTGGGGCATATTAATCTGAACATAATCTCTGGCTGGTTCCTATACCCTCAATTCGCATGGCTTTTATCTCTGTGGTCAGTCTATTAGAAATACCATCACGAAAATAATATCTCCTCTCTATTAGGTCTTTTAACTCATGGACAAGAACTACAGTATTTATGGGTTTCTATTTATGGTATTTCAACCCGGTATCTCGTCCCTAACTATAAGTTGTCCATTTGGAAATACAATAATAAAGCCTCTCAACTCCTCATTCACAATCCTCCCCT